GTCCTCTGTAACGTGTGTCATTCGACACACTCACGCTACTCTTTCCTGTTCGTTGTCCTCCTCTCCCCTCCCGCCTTTTCTCCTTTCTCAAGACACGCCCGTGGGCCTGAGGAATAAGCCGACACTTCCTACATCCCATTCATACTTCAGCTCCATCTCTGTTCCTAAGCTCCAGACCCTCTGTATTTGTATGCGTTAGTGTGAAATACATCTTTTGTGAATCGGGTTGATTCACCCTCGCTAATCCGGTCACTCCAGCCTCCGACACAGAGTCCAACTTTTCACAGCGCGCCGTCAGCTGCGCGAAACCTCCACCCTCATTAGCACATCCAGGATTATCACCACACTTAGGTCTTCATGTTGGCTTATTAATGATTCACATGCAAACGCTATCCCCAACACAATGGTACCAACAAATTTGAGCTCTGAATTAAATAGTTGTGTCTATGTTCCTTCTGGTCTTCTTCGTCATGGTGGGCAGCAAAGTAGCGTAAACTGGCAGCATCCAACTTAGTGGCCGAGGCGTGGTGTAAGACCTTATGCTGAGGCCCACGAAAACACTTCGTTCTTCCAGCCATTCTTATATTGCATGCCTGACAGTCAAACCTGATGGCGCGTCTGTTTTACAGGGATAAACTAACATTTATTCATTTAGATTTCCTCTTGGCCGTTTCGGTTTCTTGTGATGATGAAAAAAGGAAGTCAGACTAACAGAGGTAAAGAGACTTTAGTATCAATGTAAGTGCCTACAAGATTAAAAAGCATGCCAAGATAGCGCCTGAGCGCATCGGCATTAGTAGCACATTTGTCACGTATGTTTTAGTTGCAATTGGAAATTCGTGGTGCTCAGATAAGAGTCAGAGGTAGTAGTTTTGGTAACATTCCTATTTAATTGCCTCACGACACAATTTTATGTTACATGCAGGGTTGATATCTTTCATTTCACGCAAGTCTTCACTAGAATGTGCTGACAGACCCTCTGGTGGTTAAACACCACAATAATCAATTATTTCTGGCCCATCTAGATCCGGTGGACAGCCCACCGACTCCGGTAACAGTATTCGTCCACACAAGGGCCTCAACGCCTCTCCCCTGCCACATCTCTCCGTGTCCATTCTCGTATCGATGTCTCCACTCCAACCCCTCAGGCCACCACTTACAACTTTCTTATTTAGGGAATATTTTGGACACGAGACATTCTTTGAAGTTATATTAACAACAAAGTCAGCTGCTTCTAGAAACATTTATGACGGATGCAAAATGGATAATGAAGATGGCAACTGTAGAAGACACTCCCATGTGGAAGTTGAAGTCATTTCAGGCATCACTCAAGGTGTTTCACGAATGATTTGTGAGGACAATCTAGTGCAGGAAAAATGGCAACTAATTTGCAAAATCTTGTCCAGCTGGTGTGGAATAATCATCCAAGTGAGTCGTGGACTAGGAAACGAGTGGTTAAGGCGTCTGAAAATTGGCCAGATGTCAACAAACGTGACTGTGTAGGAGTTCGCAGTGTCAAAAGCAGGCCGCGGCATTGGTGTGAGCAAATCCGTGGACATAGTTGTGGAACCGGGGCCACAAATAACGAAATCCTTTCTCACGTGAACTACCGTTGATTAGCTAGGTTTACCACAGTTCCCATTTGATGAATTTTAACTGTACTCGCTTTCCTGTAACTAAATCTAATGTTAATAGGCTTCTTGAAACTTTGTCTGTCAATATGTCCCCCACTGGACGTGACCTCGATTCGTCAATACCGAATATTGTCGTCTGCAGCCAAAATGCATTACCGACTACAATATGCCGTTGGACTAATTTGATTGGTTGATGGAGTGGCCTTTTCATTTGTCACAGAAACTGATCCCTGTAGATCTGGGTGACGCAAGTCATGCAGCTGTGTCTGAATCATCACGTCACTCTAAATGGTCAGCAACGCTTAATAGCAATTGGTCGAAATATTAAAAAAAAAACGCAGCCTAACGTATGGTTCTGGCATGTAATTGGTCAATAAAACCTGGAGGATATGTAGGACATGCGCACGCAATCGCGCGATGCACAAACCTCACTCACAGCATATCGGTTTTTATTGATTTTTCACAAAATTCCCGATGCTAGGCCCGTATAGGCATGTAGTTAGCTTAAAGCTTATTTCAGTTGGCCATCGCTTGTGGTTAATACTAGCATTAATGTCTCTGCATTGTGTCATGGTTTTCAGACAAAGATGAACCAATTTGTAGTTCTAAAAAGATACGCTTTGTGATGCAACTGTTGTTGTCTTAGACATTTGAAACACTCAGGGTATGGTTGCAACATCACTGAAACCCTAATTTGTAGTGAGAAACGTGAGTTTGCATCAACATGAATTATCAACAGATCTAAAAGAAAACGATTCTCACTTTAGTGGCGCGTGTGTCCAGTTCTAAGTGGCTAGAACAAAGAGTGGAAAGCTTAAACATTTCGACGCGATTTGAGGCGACAAGAGATTTCATGAATGGAAACAGCGAATCATAGGAAACAGATATGAGGTGTGAGGAATGGACAATTGTACCTGGCCAACAGATTCTGTACTGCACCGCGAAGCCTTGGAGAAATTTGTATTAAGTAAATCATTGGAACTGTGTAAAGCGAAAGAAGTACAAAGGCTTCACAGGAAGTCCATATCTGAAGGCAACCGTCTATTTGAATTCCAGCGTCTAGACGAAGAAGCCACCGCATGCTTAACGTATCGCTGTTTCTGCGCGTGACTAATCTGGTCGTCTTCGGCGGCGTATGCATTGTTGTGCTGCTCCACGATGGCGTCAAGCACATCTGGGTCCTCGACAGGATCGGGCTGTTCCGCATAGATCGGCACCGAGTACGATCGCCGCCATCCCTTGCCCCAACTCCACCGCGGCGACAGCGGCTCCAAAGCTCGCGGTTTCCGCGATTCGCCCCAAAGCAGCCGCTTGAGTGAAGGCAAGCGAATGCGCCTCGACAGGGACAGCGTGGACGCTGTGCCGTCGAGTCGAAGGAGCTGAAGAAATCGCCGTCGAAAGGCCCTACACGAGAGGAGAAGAACGGGCAGGAGCAGTGCTGTGGTGAAGGCGTCGGCGAGTTCACGACAAATTGTGGTCGCTAAGGTGTGCTGTAGCATCCGCTGCCAAGACGGATCTCTTTCGATCTAGCAAACAGAAGTGAGGAGACATTTAGGCAGTAGTCGTAATGGGTACTTGATCTTGCCGGAGTGATTATTACCCTGAAAATAAGTTTATTTTGCACTCGTTGATTAGGCTTTGTAAACAACGACTCTTGTTACCTTGACCAAGCAGTTATAAAACTAGCAAACCATTTGCACTTAGACTTGATCACCGACTTCAGGTAGACTAAATTTATGTAATTTCTCGTAGACTTCTATTTGAATTCCGATTTTTGAGTTGAACCATTTTCACGCGAAATCTGTCCGTATGCGCTATCTGTAAATGAACCACACAGCTTGCTCTGTACTAATCCTATTGGTTAACTTTGCATTTGTGTGCAGTATCTGTTTCTTGGTGGTCAAGGTCACTTAAGGCGAATGCATAGTTTTGCGTACACTATGCGTTATTTTTAGTCGGTGGGCAGAGACAGTAAAGGCCATCTCTCATTTGTTTTGCTGATCAGACGAATACGTTTCCACGCCTGTTATTTAGGGTAAGGGATAAAGAAAGTGTTGAGACAACAAAACAGCACAAAATACACATAATATGGTCTAAACATCGTTTGTGCTTAGGTTACGAATCGCCGAAGAAGACACCTACTAATTAACTGGTCAGCAGAGACAAACCTCGCGGTCTGGAAGGTCAGCGGCTCCGGGCGTAGCCATCAGCGTGAGAAGGCGTGTAGCCACAATCGGCAGGTTCGCCAATCCATAAAGACCGCAGACAGAAGCCACCAATTGAACTCTATGCACGACACGTTGACTCCAGACGCATCCGACACGCGCCCCCATTTCGAGTGAATTCTGATTGGTTAGAAGTCGACGCCAGAGAACAAGGGCCCAAACAATGCACGTGAGGCATGACGGACAAAAGATTGCTACGTTCACGGCCCACTGGTAGAATAGGAGGGTGGCATTAGCGTGAAACTGAAATCCCGACTGGTACCCTCCAGCGGGTGTGCAGCGAAGTTGCAGACTATGGGCGGGTTGTGTGACCTCGATGTCGGTCACTTGCCAGTAGTTGATTCCAACCAATCCCGCCGCGAGCGATAATAGGAAAACTGCTGTGGCTGCCTACAATCAATAAAAAGGAAGAACACAACTTAGGCTGTTGTCTAATTTTCAGTTAAATTAATTTCTCACACATTAATAACACGAAGTCAAATAAATAAGTTCATACAAAGCCGTTATTTCCATTTTACCTTTGTGACCAATCAGAATCATATATAAGTGGCGACTGCTCATTGGCTCATTTTGTCGTTTGCTTGATATCATTGGTCTACCGATTAGTGGCAACCAACCTTCGTGGGTCATGGATACGCATGGGATTCAGGCAAAATTTGTGGAAAACGCAATCTGTTTGATTAATTGGTGAGAGAGCATCTCCTTAATGCAAATTCCATTAAATTCGCCAAGAAAACTTGGCTTATTAATCAGACAAAATATAAATAAAAATTTATGTCGCATTACACACCGGAAGAATGCCAAACATGCGTTTGCAAGAAACGACCAGATTTCCGCAAAGTCGATGCCGCCTTGACGCCTGTCTTCCAGCTTGAAACGGCTTGGAGATGGTGTAGCCGTGCCAACCAATCAGAACAATCGTCAGTGCTGTAGCTGCCCTATTGGCTGTATCGAAGGTGTGCAAGAGAGGGCATGTGGAGCGGACAAAAGTGAGCACTTTTAAGTCCCACGGTTCGTCCAGGTCGAGGACGAGTAGAAGGCCACATTGGATGAGCAGAAGGAAACAAACCAATCCGAGAAGCCGCAAAATCAGCTTCCCCCTTTTCCTTTCTCGGTACTGTTGGTAGATGTAGGTGGTTCCTGGACGCTTGAAGTCGTGCTGAGCAGCCCAGCTGAATAAGACGGTGGCTGCCACCGTGAGACCAAGGAACCCGATCGGCAGGTAGATGGCCGTGGCTGCTTTGTCAATCTGTAGGCTCCAAGGAGCAAAGCGGTTGAGGAAAGCCACCAGATAGGGGTAGCGCTCAAAGACATTGAGAGGTCCAGCTTCCCTGTCTGGAATTATAGTTGGAAGCGGCGTGGTCGTGGTGGTGGTCTACTTAGACGAAAAAGAGCCATAATGTAGAGCACCTTCATATTTCAACTACTGCAAAGTGATAGGTCGAATTTGAATACGAAAAGTGATTGGTCGATTTCAAATTAGTGCCACAAATTCCCCAAAAGCCTTCTGTCTTTGAATTCTTATATAAATCTAAAAAATCTCACAACATCTTCACACTATCCTAGTAAAATTTTGATCGGTTTTTATAAAAAAAAACCAACTTACTATTTCAACAGCTACTTCTCTTCAGCAAGTTGTTAATATCTAATCGACCAGATGACCCCTGAAAAAAGCTATAGTGGTCACATGTTACTCTCAAGGAGTTATAACACAATTCACCCGATAATTAGACAGATTTCGTTACACAAGAGTTTTACTTTTTTCGTCGTATTGGGTCTGCAAGTAATTAATCAATTGGTAAAGCTAATTTAGTGGGAAAATGTTTCCTCTAAGGGAGGGAATCGATTTAGCACAAACTCCCAAATAGAATTGAATGTATTGATTTATAAATGGTACTTTGTTTTCTAAAATGAGTTTCGAAAAATCAGTGAGTTGAAAGCACGTTTCGTGCGATGGTTTGGGTTGTCACCTACTTGCATTTCTGCCACTTATGCAGGGCTGATTTCGATTTTTTCAAAAATAATGCTTGGCGACGTCTACTGTGATGCGTAAGCAGTGGTTGGCATTGGGTGTGATGTGGGTCCCAGCATGTGGTCTTGAACCACGCCGATTATGCTACCCGCGATGAAGAAAAAGACCGGAGAGGACGTGATCACAACCGTTTACTTCAGAGCTGCACCACGTTGGTGTCGTGTGTAGGGTTTGCGCGCGTGTATTTATACCTCTGATGTGTGAGTCATAGATGGGCTAACAGCGAGACCTAGGTGTGAGGATAATCTAAGATAATCGTTCGCGCTAATGAGGGGAAAGGTGAGGATCCGCGTGGCTGGCGACATGCCGCGAAAAGAGGGACCCTGTGTCGGGAGGCCGAAGTGACCGGATTAACGAGTGTAAATCACCACGATTCTATCGGGAACCGTTTTCCCTCACGTCATGCAATCGAGAAATGACTTCTGTAGCATTTAAGATGCTTTCAAAAAAACTCAATCCTTTTGGGGGCGTAAACATTCCCCATCAAAAATGAGATTTGTACTGACTATTCACTCACCTCTGTGCACACAATCACCACTCCACCGTCAGGCAACATTGTTGGTCCCGCCAACAACTCAGCAGTCCTAATTGCTCAACTCGTTACTCCCCGACTGCCCAGGCAAATATAGACAGGCACATCTGAGCATTCACACGACTTCCGCTTTGACCTTAATTTTTGTTCGTACTTTTCGTGTTTTGAGAAACACCTTTGACGTGGAAAACAGGGAGTTCCAACTATTACCACCGGGGAAGACGTAGCGGATCCTACTCGAAAAACAGCTCAGTATTTATAACCTATTCAAATTAATGCGTTCAGCTGGTGTTTGAACAAAATGCTTCCTAAACAAATCTGCTGACCACTTGGGCGGAGATACGGAACTTTTCTGTAAGCGCCATGTATACATTCTTTCAAATCATGTTCAGTTTTGTAAAAACTAGGCCACCTGGGGTATAAATTTAGCAATTCAGAACTCTGGGGTTTGAGTTCATGTATTTCAGCCAGATCCCGCTGACAAATTCCAGTGGTCTGAAACGTTTTAATCTCATCTCAGAAACTCAAATGATTAAAAATCTAACCCGAAAAATCAAAACATGGCTAGTTTTCTTGTTTTCGTTTGGTGCTTTCACCAAGACCTTAATCAATTTAAGCTGGTAGACATCTATGGTAATCAAACACGTGTGCATTTCTAATTGGCTACCAAAGGAACGCTTGAGAAATACAAAGAACAACCGATCAAATTATAGAAATTCGCACTTTTAAGCAAGAATCGTGTTTACAGTCATCGAAGCATTTGCCATTTTAAAAAAACCACAAAATCTGAGGTGGATTAAACGGTCTTGAGTTCCTGTACACATTTCCTTCCGATTTATATCACAAAATTTTAGTCACTATGATCTGGGACTTATGAATCTACTTACAAAATTCCAGTATTTAGCACACTAACACCAAATAGAAGAAGAATGGTCAGTATGAAGCAATTTTTCAACAAATCGAATTGATCAAAGAGAATAAAATCTGTAGTAATCGGGCATATCTTCATTTCGATCTTGTAGGAGAAGACGAAATCAGATGTTTAACGATCTGTAGAGTCGCCAAGACTTTTTTTTACCGAAACAGAATTATCGTTTGTGGTCATGCAGTTCACCTTTAAGACACGGCACATGATTTGACTTTGGCAAGCCTTTTTTTTAAATCTTAAAATAACTGTCAGGCGGAATTTGCATACAGCTCATTCCAGATGTCTGGACTGCTTGCCTATTTGGAATTACCAAATGAAGCACTGTCTCGGTGTAGCAACGCGTAGGGACATCCAGTCCAATCACCCACCCCCGAATAACGAGGACAAATCCGGCATTGCTCAGTCAACCGCAACTGACTTTCTGAGGTTTCAACAAACAAAAACAACATCAACAACAACTACTACTGCTAATACCACTCAGAGATGATGTGGGTTTAGCTGATGTTAATCCTTTGTGATAGCATCCAAGTTCCACTTCTGTACCATTTCATAGACGCTGGAATTTAAGCATTTCGGATTTTGCCCTGAGATTGTCGATTTATTAAAAAAAGGTAGTTTCAGCAGAAAGATCTAGATCTATAACATAGCACACAGCATTGCAATTCATGTGCAATGGGCATTTCGCACGCAATCACGTACACAATGCGTGTTTACTCAAATTTACTTCGCGTGAATGATAGACACATCTGTGATCCGTGATTTGAAAACAGGACCTCATGTGTCACCCCACATGCATTTAAAAGAGATGCTTTTAAAAGAGAAAAACACGTTTGTGGTTCGAGGTCAGGCTGCGGTGTTCCCAAGTTTCTGTTGTCTGTTGAGCGACGTGTGGTGCAGCGTTGTCATGGTGACAGATGATGCCTCTTCGATGGGGTGAGTTGATCGCAGAATCCTTTGGCCACGTGGAGGAGACTCGTTAATTTCTACTTTTCTGCAACCGCCCCACCAGACAAATAACAACTCGTTCATCTGATACCATTATTCAGCATTTGCCATAGATTCTGCTATTTTTCACACCTATACTTCCGGCTTCTTTTGACGTTATACGCAGTCATGGCTTGATCCAAAAAACTCGTTGTGTTGACGAGAGATATCATCGTGGAAACACGGTTCTGTCGAAACGGGTGGAATCCAAACACCGGCTTTCGTAGGACAACGAGGTTGCTTTAAACCGCGATTCGTAAACAAGCAGTCTTCCAGCAACTTCATTGATCACGAATAAGGTCGTTTTAAATGCTGGAAGATCGCTCGGGATAAATTTTGCGCCTTAGATTGAAAACACCTCTTTGAGATCGTAAGTGCAGGATAAAAAATTGCTCCTTGTTAAAAATCTACTTTAAAAATAACACCAAAAACGCGCAGCCTTTTGATCCCCATTTAGGATCTTTACAACTGCTAAAAAATGAAGTTTAAATAAAACTTGTCTAGGTTTTGTTGACACACGATGCATTGAATGCAATGCCATTTACTAACGCATAGTCAAAGCAGAAGTCTCTGCCATCTGTGAAAACTAAGCACTAACAAAAAACTGAAATTTGTGACTGGCTGATTTTTTCAGAAAGAACAAGCAGGTAAGCCAATAGGACTCACGAGTGTCGTGGTTGTCGGGGTGGTCGTGGGGGTGGTCGTGGAGGGCCCTGGAGTGGTGGTGGTGGTTATCAGGTTCCCAAGCCAGTCGTACTTTCCTTGAACAGTCATGTTGTCCGGCGTTGGTGCAAGCGAAAGCCGTTGGCATATGCTTATTGCCAGAATTGAGCACTGCGATGCGTGATTTGCATGTTGCCATGGCTAACCATGGCGGAGTGCAGTTGGGTAGGTGCGTGCGTCCGTGTGTGTGTGCGTGGTGATGTTTGCTGGCCTGGGCGACAATGTCAAAACAACTTTCTTGTCTGACCCACGGGCTGATCGCTGTCTTCCGGCACTAACAGTGCGCCTTCTCTGAAAGACTAATCTCTGCACTAATGTTTTCCACCCTTAACTTAAAACGCGTTCGTACACTTTGAAAAAATTTGCTATTTTTGCATTCTCGCTGGCTACTCCATGAACGAAAGCGATTTGAAACTGTACATGTTGAAGTCAAGTTAAGCAGTTGTAGTGAATCGTGTTGATTCACATCCAATAACCCTGTCCTCGCAGATTCCAGCATACGTTCCCCCTTTTCACGTGAGACCCCCGGTTCATTACCCCTCTGAATGTACAACCGCCTCCCGCTTTGGCCATGTGACCCCACAAACGCCTGTGTTCATTTTTACATGTCCACTCAAGTGTAAAAGTACACGACACAACTTGGTTGAGCGGTCTAGTAAACGGTTGTGCCTTCCCCACTCCGGTCTTCTATATTTTCGCGGGAACACAGGGTAACGTATTCGGCCTAGATAGTCGCAGTGGCCCCGGCGTGGTTCAAGGCAACATGCCGGGGCCCTCAACATAGTCATATTGAGTTGTTATTCAACAAGAACCAAAATAACACTGCTAGAACTTGTAAAGCCGTTTTTGAATCATAGTATTATAGCTTCTAGAGGCTGTATACTACACGGACGACGACACGTTTGGTGAAACAGGGACGAGACCATAGGAAACGGTCGTTTTCGGTTGCAAATACAAAAAAGAGACCATTGGCTATGATGACCATTAAGTGCAACAGCGATTTCTACTGCCAGAATTGTTTAGTTATTATAAAATGAGTATGATAAACAATGACTGATATATTTGCCAATTTCATGAAATCACTCTCACAAATAAGGCACAAATCATGAAAGTGCAAGAGTCCTGGATATTGTTGCCTCAAATCTCACCAGTTAGACCAATCAAACTGTGTCCGAAATCGTTGTCATTGCTACCAAGTCAACGAGAATCAACCCTCCCTCCTAATGTATCTGATTTAACAACTTTTAGCCATCCGCGTCACGAATGCGCTGATATGAAGTCCCACGTCTACAAGTCCAGGGATCTTTCTGCCGTTAGAAAACAATCCGGAGAGCTATTGCGTTATTTCGATTAAATTTTCCTTTTATTAATCTAAAAACCAATCAAGCATATGACACCGATCGCGTTATATCTATGCGTTTTGTCACAACCTCTGGCGTAGATGTAACAATGATTCTACGCAGTAACGTGCGGTGGCCTTGAAGTGACGACATTGATTTTTGGGGAACCAGCGGTGACTTCATCAGCCGGATCCCCCAAAAGCTTCGGTAATGAGTCAGAAAAAATCTTCAAACAGACTACCAAACATTAGGCACCATTGGAGATCACCTAAGGACCTCCGGACAATTTCCCATCGGTGAATGACGTTGGTCTCGTGATTATGCCATCTTGAAAAGACGCATACAGATGTAGCCACAAAGACGATGTTGGAGTGAATGTCTGTGGTACTTTAGGTCATTGAATTGATGGAATGGCGCAGTTATCTGCAAGGACTACTAGGAAGAATCGCCACCACTCCCTTTGGAAGATGCTATACCTTGGCGAACTGTTGATGAACATGTTGATTGTTTTTGAGGGCTCAACACCAAAACATTTTCCCCATCTGGCTAACAAAGTTTACTCATTATCAACACAAAAGACAATAAATGAAAAACCTGGAGATTCTACTGATTATTCACCTAGATCTCTTAAGTGAATTTAAACAAATTTCACAACTGCCGATAAAATGAAATGGATAGCATTTTATGCACTTGTCTATACAGAAACACACAAAATTATCCAAAGGGCATTATGAGTTATATAATTTCCACAATGTCACTAATTATAGCATGCGGTGCAGCGACGTATAAGGGCGCAGACATATTGGACCACACTGGCCTCAGCCAATTCTTTGACCCTTTGGCATACGAGAGGGATGTGCTGACAGCCAGAGACAGACACGTATGAGCAGTACTATGTAATGAGCGGCGCTGCCAGCTTGATGGACTTGGATGGATAGCGCCTGACGTGCGGTTCTGGTTTCTGATTGGCCAATTAATCCTGCTCTGGCTCAAACAGGATCAGGTCCTATTGGCCAACGCAGGGTTAGGTCAATTTTGGACAAAGGTCAGCTACCCAATTAAGGCAAATGAACGCCTCGATTTATGTGCTCTAATGACAGTAAAAGGTTAGTTCCGTACAGCTAACCAGTAATCATCGTTACCAAAATGTACAAGGTTGGTGCAAACATGGTCACTCCCTATTGGTCAACTCATGGCCAGATCTATTTTTCTCAAAATACAGAATTCAGATAAAAGCCAATGTGCCCAAACAAGTCAGGTGAACACTTCAAATATTGTTCTTTGGTTTTATTAGAAGGCAGGATCTAGGTAACAAGCTGACAATATTCTTAAACAGGATGCACAAGATTGGTCACCTCAAAGTCACTCTCTACTGGTCGATCCAAGGTCATGTTGACAGAAGGTAGCCTTGCCTTGAGTACTGTTCCAAAAAGAGGTAGAAGTCATTTCTAGGCAGAATATGTCATTTTGCCCACAGTCGTGGCAGTAAAATAATTTTTCGGATGTCTGCATGCGAATTTAGCACAACGATGTCACATTTTAGTGGAAATTCGGATATTTCGTAGGCGCATTAAATGCTACTTATAACTGTACGTTGCAATAAGAGCAAATGATGCAATAATAACTCGGTTATTACAAGCACTTGCAGTCATTTATGCGCTACTTTCGTATTGCTTAAGGCAGTCGTGCTATAGCACATTTGATACCTCATTAGTTGAACCAACCACTCACTGCAACCGGAGAAAATCAATATAAGTGTCCAATTGGTTTGCTAGCATTTTGCCTGATCGAAGAATTCTTGATTGGTTTTGATAAAAATACCCGTTAAAATTGATTACTTTCATTTAATCAATAGTACTGGCTCCGATTAAAGGCAATAACAATCACAAATTTGGGTGGTATTCGTTGATCAGGAATCGCGTCGCGCTCCGCACACAGGGAGGGGTATCGTATTTATTTCCCATTCTCAAACGTGCACATGGGATTGTTAAAAAACATGAATTTAACTCAAGTAATGCGCTTCACTCCGCCAGACTACGTTTTGCCACTGTTAGATCAACTTTAAAATCCCATCCACGCACTAAATAGCAAACCACTGGGCAGGATTTTAACAATCTAAAACGTTTTGCAGACTCCTACGTGAAAGTCAATATGGCATGCGGCGGCTTTTTCACAAGTCGCATCTAAGTCGACGCGCCTTTTGCACCACGCGAATCGACACACACGGAAACTGTTTTTTTCTCCTTTGGAACTTTTCGTAAACAGTTTACCTTTCATCATCTTTCGTTGCAAAAATATGACGTCTCCAATGCCTATCGTGAGTGCTTTCAGTCCGTTTCAATGGTTGTGGTGCGTGATACGCCACTCCTTGATCTCACGATTGAATTCTGAGATGCCCACGCCGATAAATACTCAACAGTAATGATTTTGTAAGTCTGCAGTTAATTTATGTCTTTACGGAAAACTGTGAAGTATCTCCTACGTTGGTAAAGCATCCAGACATGGGTTAACCCAAACAAGGAAAAAATATACTTCATTGGCTTTCGAATTGAGTACTGGTTGCAGTGACTGCACACAACTCTTCCACATCGGTAAACACATCACATAGGGCAAGCAGAGATAAAAATCAACTTTTTTGTTAAAATAAAAACAAGAAGTAATCAGTCTTGATTGGTACATGACTAGATGCAATTTGCACATTGGATCCGAGGAAAGATTTGGAAGAAGCGAGCGAACAGGCTTAAAGAGGGAGAGGGAGAGGGAGCGAGGCGACACACAACGACGGGGGATCACATTGTGAGGACTTCGGACACCTTCGTCTTGGTCAAGCTGAAGTACTGTGAAAGGGGCTCCGGCACGATGTCCAGTTGGCTCACCAACTTCTCCGTCTCCTTCAACAGGTCCGTCAGTATTTCGTTAATTGGCTGAAGGCGAAGCAATAGTAACGTCAAATTAGTGCGCGCACACACACACACGTCTTATTCGTTTACATGGAAAACGCTATTAACACGGTTGCATGGCTTTGTCGAGTCTGTAAAATCGGCTTCTTTCATTTCAAACAAACTCTTTGACGTTGGAACACGACGAACTCCTCAACGCAGCTAAATACATGGAAGATAGCTCGCTGGCTTCCTATAATTGCCTGATACTTCATGGTGCTTCAGTTATTCGCTTTAATGTGTTCTCCGGAGGTCAAAACGTCACAAAGAGTTTTCTTTGGACGGATTCGACATTCGAATACTACGACCAACCACACGGAATCACCCACAAACTCCCTACAACCAACCTTCCAGAGAACACCAACCAAGAAGTCTTTGTGGCCCAACCTTGAGATGAACAATCGGGCGTCAACCCGTTTGGACCAAACATGTGCATCCCAATACAAAAATTTATTTTGCTGTCCAGAATAATATTTGACGTCTTCGCATGTTTTACTACAATAGTTGCTGATTTGGGATATGAGCAAAATCGATATTTGCGATTTCCGAGCGTACAGGACACTCGACCTTGAAATAACCAATGGCGGCGCAATAATTCCCACTCACTAGAAATCATGGATCACGTTTAGTGCGTGAGCTTATTAAGGAGGAGCTGAGCGAGTTTATCGTCGTGAAAGTGAGAAATCATACCTCTGGACGAAAGCTCAGAGGTCTCCGAATGAAAAACCTGCACGCACTTACCTCGGAAGTTCCAAGGCCTTGTTGGTGGAAGGTGACGTAGTAGTTGAGGAGGTCAACGTACAGCTGGGTACGCGCGTCCAAGTCGATGCACATGTCGGCGAGGGAGCGCGACTTCTCCAAGCACTTGAACACGCCCTACGGAATGGAGGAAGAAGGGTTTCGACGCAGGCAGAAAAAGACAGCTCTAGAAGGTAGGAGATTCTGCCAACTGGTGTCCAGTTGCCCATTAGTTAATGGGTCTGTGGAACTCGAAACACAATAAAGGGAACAAAGAATGCCTAAATTTCCCTCTGCTTAAAAGGGAAAGGTTGGAATGTTGGAGGGTGATTCAGACGTCTACTCACCTCCACGCCCTCAAATGAACACACCACTTATCGCGTTCACATGTACCGCCTCTAACCCTGTTTGGTTCAATTATCTTTTAGTGTGCTGCCCATACACAAGAGGAAGCATTTGAACGCGCTAGTTGGGCTTTGGCTAAGGCAGCAGAGGTCGTATCCTTGCTTCTGCGCTGAGAGAGTGATGGCTAGGGATTTCTGGCGAACACAGACCCCAACCCCATGAACTCAGCTACGTTGCCGCCTGGCAAAAGGAGGACCTGGCGATGCGGCAGGAAAGCAGGAGAGTGGATGGGACAGTGGGTAGAGAGACCGACTTACCGACTTGTCCTGCTCGCGCATGTACAGCTGCGCCGTGATGGCGACCGCACGACTCTGGTCGGCGCGCAGGAGGAGGTTGAGTGCCGCACGACTGCACTGCGTCTGCAGCACATGGAAGCTGTCCTCGTCGAGGCAGTGCATCTGGCACAGGGTCGAGACCATCAGACAGAAGGCCGACAACTGCGAACGCGCGTCTGACAACTCCTGCTCGAACAGGGTGAATGCCTAGCCAAGGGTTAATCAAAGCCCGAGTCACTTTCAACGCAAGCACACACCTTCCAGCCAACAATGACAACTGAAGGGAGGGACGATGACTCACTTGCGAGAAGAAGTCGTAGGCGAAGAACGGTCGTTTCTCAAAGGGCACGGATTCGATGACGAGGGTGCAGTTGAGGAAGAGACGCAGAGCGGCGTCGGGTGCGATGCACGCGATCAACTTGGTCGCCGACTGGTGACAGAAGGCGATCACGCGCTCGCACCGAATCTCCCAGCTGTCCTGGCCCGCGATCGCCCCGTTCGCCTCCTCGCGCGTCTCGTAAATGACGGGAAGAAGACGGATGGCCTGTGGGAGGGGACGAAAGGGAAAAGCAGCCATTTTAATCGACAGCGCCACGCCTCACCTTGTTAACCTCTGTGGCCAAGCGATTGGGCTTCTAGACGTTGGAAAGTCTAGGGAACGTGCTGCATGATACTACTGGTCCACTGATCTGTCGGTGAACAACCTTTTACGGGTCATGGATACTTGAGGTCCAGCGGAACATTGTGGAAGACGCGAATTCTCAAACTACAGTATAGCAGTGCACACCAAACGGCACGAAGATAACTAACTTTAGGCAAGACAGATGACAGTACCGGTTGAAAAGCAAGAATCTGAAAAAAATAGGGATTTGAATAAAATCCTGATTTCAGCCAACAATGAACAGGGCCACCTTGCTTCGACTTAGTGCAAGAGTACTGCCCGATTTCATTGTAAATGTATTCGACAGTGATAATTACACTGTTCATCGGTTATGCATTCGAATTGGGTATTCATTGGTTTGTAGCAGTTGTACCAATAAATTGGATAAAAACTTTGAATTTTTTCGTTTTTTGGACAAATTTTGCAAGTAAATTACCAAGTTATGATGGTAGCACACACCAAGAAGATAGTAAAATTGGGCAAAGCTAATGACTACTCCAGTTAAAAAGCAAGAATCTGAGAAAAAAATAGGCCTTTCAATCAAAACCTAATTTTATTCAACAATCAAAAGGACCACCTTGGTAAAAAGGCAATGCCTGGCTTAATTATAAGTGCTTGCAGGTAGCATTGATCAAACCGTTATCTTATAATGGCTTTAGATGTCATATTAAGCAATTTACACCTGCATCAGCACAGCCTCGAGTTTCTTCGTTTACACATTTTGCAAGCCGACCGTTTTTAGCCCCCTACTCTCGCTCTTCACGCAATTCCTTCTCATGACGAACTGTCATGGCAGTTAAGACAAGCGGGAAGACACAGATATTACCAACTTCAAGTTGGCAATTTGACATTACCATGGGTAATTACCGTCGACGGCCAACTGACATGAGAACCGATGTGGCCCTGTGACCAGACAAGAGGGGAGCACGTTAGACTGAAAGCTACCTTGGACAGGGGAACATTTGCGATCGAAGATAATGCCTGCGAAAGACCACCTGAGGTTAGCATTTTGGTAGGTTGAGTCCCAAGGCCCTTCGTATTCTGCCTTCAATTGACTAGTTTTTTTCCAGACAATTTGCCAGTATGGGGCGAGGTGTTGTGCTTGAGAAGCGACGTTTTCAAGTATACGCGAACATTGTCACTGGATGGCCAACTAGCTTACTGCGGTCAGTCTTGGTGTGGGAGCCACTGACATAGAGGCTCATTAGGTGTGTCAGTGATTTGACATGTGAAATTTAAGGCACCGATTTTGATATCAATAATGCACACCTTTTCTTTCACCGGAGGACTGCTTGAAAGGGTAAATGGACGCAAAATGACAGGGGATCATAAATCGCCACTTAGAGTCGACGGAACAGACTGGTTTATGCAGGTAATCGAAAACTCAGAGGCTTGTGTTTCTCTAGGATAAACCAACTGAGAGCTACGGGCGCGATTACTGATGCAAGAACAAGCAGATTATGACAACACCTCGCTCCAACTTCTGCGAGCAAGTCGTCTCGAGAAACACACACACATACACACCTTGAAGACAAGAGTTGGAAACGTGGCACGGACAACCGTAGACCCGCCGGCAGCGAAGAGCTTCCGGGTTTTTATAAGCAGACCAATCACCGCATCAGGATCCGTGCAGCCGCTACCACGGCCAATCAAGTGGACCACCGAGGCCAGGAGTGAGAGCTCCTCGGCCGATTCGTCCGACGAGGTGGGCGGCAGTGCCACCGCCGGATCTGGACGCTCTACCAAGACGCCAGCGATCGCGAAGAAGGCGTCCAAGTCGGCCTCAGAGGTGATGCGTTGGCTGTCCTCGCCTCCAGCGCCTGTGGAATCGCGTTCGAGGGCGCGTGCGATGAAAAGGCAGGCGAGACGCCGACGCGCAGGCACGTCGAGGAGATCGAAGAGACGCGAAAAGCCAGTGAGATTTAGGAGGGTGGAGAGACGGACAAGCTCGCCCGATTCGCTTGTTCCCGTCGGCGAGCATCCGGCCGAGGGCGGCGGTGTGGTACCGGAGGAAAAGATGGAAAAAGTGGCTGAGTCCAGGGAGGAGTTAATCGACCTTTTGGGACTTCGCGGTCCGTAGAGCGGTAGGTAGAGTATGGTCAGGAGTTCCCGCGACAACAAGGAACCACTCTGAATTCTGCATTGACAGAAAAAAAAGTGACTCACAAATAATATTTCTCGTTTTTCTGGATTTGAAAACAGCTAGTTAGGTACAAAGATAAGCTCAAGGAATTCTACATTTGTCCTTTAGGCGCTTAAGTAGCTTGTTAAATGCCACCTTCGACTGCCTCCGCAAATCAAGATGCCAAATTCTGGTTGGAACAGTTAAGTGGGATCTGAAGAAAGCACGCGCCACTGAGTTTTATGGTTTTCGCATAATAAGTGATACGATCTGCAGATTGGTAGTCTTTGTGTTTCACTGATAAGGCGTTACCATGGTGATTCTTTAGTCACGGATCATTCTCAGGTTGTTTTGCTTGACTACACTCGCAAATAACAACAGTGGTCATTTAAAATGCTTCATAGTTCAGGCAATGCCTTCATTACAATGTTTCAAACAGAGCCACTCATAGGCGTCGCAGCTCAGATCAAATCTTCAGGGGATAGTGAACACAGCGACAAACTTGCTCTGGCAAACGTGAAAACGACTTCGCAGCTTATCTACAACAATTGCAGTCGCCTGTGCAGGTTCATAGGGTTCCGCTCATGGCAAACGAAAAGGCTACCCGATATCGACCAATCAGCTTGGTCCAGGGGCATCGCAATCAGTTACATCTGGTTACTGGAGCGCGGTTTCAGGTCAACTTCATCGAAAGGAAACTGTAACGAATCTCGTTAATCACCCGCGGTCCACGCATGACTGGAGTCTGTTGTTTGCGACCCCGGATTCGCAACCAATTCCACGGATATCACGCTGAACGCCATTGTTCATTCTCACACCAATGACGGGGCTGGCCTTTGACACCACTAACTCTTACACAGGCATGTTTGTGGCAGACATGTTATCATCTCACTGGAAATGAGCTTCAACTATTGCCTGAACATAAAAATCGAGATGAAGGCTTAACATTTTTTTCCCAGAAAGTGGCATATTGAAGAGGTTTAAGTGACCTCCACTTGACCTCAAAGGGGCCCCGATTTGGACCAGCAGTAGTGGGTGCAACTAGAAAATGGACCGAAAGAGCCGCTCAAGCTGGACTGCTTGAGACTCCAACGGAAGTCAATTTGGAGCTAACAACTGCAGGAAAACTAAAAGTTCATGAAGCTTAAGATGTAAACAAGGTGATTTTGAGACAACAAGGAGTACCTGGTGGGAGAAAGATTCACCAAGGCAGTCGCAGCACTGAGGAGGACCTGGTTGACAACATCGGCACTGAAGTTGAGATAGATCGCCATGTTCAGCAGGGGTGCAAACAATCCGGGAACATCCTCTGGCGGAAGGCCCGTTCGAGCGTCGTCTGGAGCGGTGTTGTAGAGGTCGGCGCGTCGACTAACCAACTGCCCAATCTCCAAGGACAGTGACTCGAAGAGAGCTTCTGGGTTTATTGTGGCATCGCCTTCTTTGTTGCGGCCTTCCTTATCCTCTTTCTCCTCCTCCTGCTCCTCTTTTTCCGAGATGTAGTGCAGAAGTCTGGACAGAATTTGAGTAGGGAAAAAACGACATCATAAAATATTGGAAGGTGGACGAGAAGACCAACAAAGACAACTCACCTATCAACCAGACTTCTGATGATAGGTCGCAAGCGGGCGGCGGGCTGCAAGCATTCACATGCCTGCAACAACTGTGGCAAGGTAGCCGCGTGAAATTCATCTGGAAAGGCCTTAGGACACAATACAAAGAGCCACAGTCATTAACGTATGAGCGAACAGGCAGGTTATGAATACTGACTAATCAAGATGAATTACGTTAGCGAAGGTAATGAGGATGGCTTTTACTGAATACAAAAAGCCGGCACGAACCTGGATGGTTACGTCCATGAGGTATTCCTGGGCAATTACGTCACGACATTGAATGACCTGTTCCAGAATACTTGGCAGGATGTGCTGAAATGCAAATAAAAACCGCGAAATGAAGCGACGCGTGGTAACACAACACAGGTGAAAAAGAATTCAGTAAAATTTCTACGCAGACGTGGACGACAACGTTGGTGAGCTAATTATTTAATGGCAGGGGCACAACAGCACCAAAAAAGGGACTAACGGTTTTGTATAGATCAGCGTTGATTGCTTCAAGCTGGGAGAGGCGATGGATGTTGGCACCAACGAGCACCTGGAGATCGCGTCGTTCGCGCTCCCGTTTCTCCCTGTCTCGGGTGTGACCCTGGTGCTGCATCCGCACCCACAGCTTGTTCATCTCGGCAAAGTTGAGGAGGATGAAGCTGATGCTGTCCATCACTGTTGCTGAGTTGTCGCTTGTGGCCTGAGAAGAATGAGGAAAATGACTAGTTAGGGTGAACATTATCGCTCAAACGCAGCGCTGACATTTCAACTACACAAAATGACATTTAAACGCTAGGGTATAGTGGTTTACATAATTAACTCACCCCACAATCAGGCAGAAGGTTGGGGCGGAGTGAAGTGAGAAGGTAGTTGCGGAGGAAGAGGCCACGAAGGGGGTGCTGCACTCCCCGGCACATTTCAACCAAGTCCTTCAGAATCTCTCGACAGGGAAGTTCACCCGACTTTATGTAAACAACTCCAACCGTTATCAAAAGGTACCTGCGGAAATTAAAAATTAACCAATTTGGGAGAAACAACACCGGGAAACTCGTGTATTCATCAATTGAAGATGTATATACAGAAAGGTATTTGACGCAATAGTCGAAAAGTCGGTAATCACTGAAACCGACGTCAACATCGGAAATTCACTGATTTTACGGTTTCGAGTATTGCGCAACAAAAGCTATTCGGAAAAGGTATACGCTTTGGTAGACTTAAAGCAAAGTTTTTATGGTTCCAGAACGAAAGAGACCATGACGCAGAAAAAGCTGTGCGCGCCCCGCGTAAAAGAAAATAAAAAATAACAAAACCTTTGCTTAAAAAATGGAAAACTATTTATGAAAAGAAGAAACATAAGCAACTGCATGCTTACATGCGTGGCAGAACATTGGATACATACTGGACGATTTCATACAGATGCGGAATAGATCGCCCCTGTTTAAATTCATCGGTGAGATGAGCTTCAACACTGTTAAGTATCTCAGTCGCCTTAATGTCTAAAAATTGAAATTAGTATGGATGAACATACAAAGCTCATAGTATGACTTGGGAGATAGACCAGATGTTCGTAATCCACGAAGTACATTCGCACAGCAATGCAAACCATCCATGTTCAAACCATCATCCTAGCAATAAAAAAAACGACAAAGCAGCTTACAAAATACATTTTTACAGTGCGCTTCTGTTGCTCCATGGCCGCAACTGCCCTATCAAGCAGTTTTTCTTGATCATCAACTGGCATCGCTATGTTTCACGATCGCAATTGGAGCATTAAATCATTTTGAAGAGGCCGGTGATCGTAAGAGCGGTATAAAACCGTACTATTTGTCCATTATTAAAATGTAAATAAAATAACCCTACTAAGATGTTTTTAGCAAATTTTGTTTTGTTTTGGTTAGATACATTTTTTATGTAAAATTTGTTAAATAACAAAGCGAAGCACGGTTGATTGCTTTCCTGCATTTAAATAAGCAATCAAAAATAGCTTGTTTCAATTTTCTTTCGGTATGTTTTATTGTTGTACAGAAATTTTTTTTCATGCAGTTATAGGCATCTAAAAAAAAGAGTGAACTGATTCAAAACTAGAAAACAGATGCGAATTAATTCTTGCAATTCCGGATTGCCCTCAGGTAAATACTAATCCTCTTAATAGTCCTTTCTAGTTTGTAGAAACGTTTGAATTCTTATGCCTGTAGTTTTGTTCTGTCAACATTTTTACTTTTATAACAACTTATATATGATAAGTAAACACTGAAAACACGCCTAAACTGATTTAAAGATAATTTTATAAAAAAGTGTATGGCTACCTTTAAATAAATGCCCATTACAAGACATTTCTAATTTGTTGCAGTTTTTGTCTCATTTAGCGTTTTGGTAAATTCAACAGTTAAAGGGACTTAGTTTATTTCTGTCCTTCATTTACCAAAAGCTTGCCAAACAAAAGCTATTTTGACAACTGCAATTATAAGTGCATCAGTGGGCAAGTTTAGTTACTAACATATTTTAATATCACAATAAGACGGAAGAATGTTGGTGGTCAATAATCCTCACAAGGAGGTGAACACATCTTACCAGCTAGATTTGATGAGTTATGGTTTGCTACCAAAATTTTGTTGGGAATTAAACGTTCCAGTCAACTAGCGGTAAACCTGTTCGAATAAGCTTGCTTTGATAAGAATATACTGACCATCCATTTTAGAGCATTAGGCCTAATTATTCTTACTGATGCTCGAGTAGGGCGGCAAAAATAGCACAGCAAAAATGTTTTAAAAAAAGCAAAACACCGAGATAGGCATGATGGGAGGCTAAGTTATATAGGGCAAAATTTGGACCCAGACGACACTGAAGGCGCTGAAATAAGCAAGGTTTTCCTTCGAATCAACTGCTCATTAAGACCAAAATGATTTAAAACAGCAAAGAAGTTAAATCAACTTTTGTTCCTGTACAAAATGCCACAGAAACCACTGGATTTTTTGTACGCTACTTGACGTTCAGCTAAAGTGAGCCCCCTTGTCAGAAGTTCATGGTGGAAATTTTAAATCCATCCACTACTACACGTAGGATGTTGGTCAATATGTGAGGGACTGTTACGGCAAGAAGTGTGAATTCAAAGAAAACTTTTCACTACGTTCGCCTCTAAAAATGTCACTTCTGCTCAGTGGCCTGATTAATGATTGACCCCAACCTTTTAACTTCTTTTATATTACTTTTTTTCTACTGGGCTCCGAAAATTTGTAATCCTTCACAAGCTTCTATTTCGACCATCAAGTTTAGCAGATAAATTAAGAGATTAAAAAGTGTTTGACTTACTTCCAATAAATGACTGTCGGTTACTGAAATCAGTGGTGAGTAGCAGAAACATATGCGAAATTACTTATTTCCTCCGGATCGTCAACTCAATAAACTACAGGAGATGCAGCGGTTCGCTGTGTCAAACCCAACCACTGCAGCTGCTGGGGTGAAAATTTAAAAGGTCTTCCTGTGACAAATGCACATATCACACGAAAATGATCCAAATTTGGCCTTACACAAAAAGTAACCATATAGAACTGCACTCAATACTCTAAATTGTCATTTTCTCACTCGGAATGTCGTTGTTACGGGTTATTAAAGGGTCTTGATATTATACCTACTTCTAACATATTTATTAAAAAACTTGTATACTACTAAAAACAGTGGAATTCGTAGTAAGATGTCTGACAGGTCACGGATCATTTCAGAAGTGAACGAGACAGGCCTTTGCAATATAACCAGCTTTACCTGAATAATCTTTAGCACATCACAAGCACACCAGTGCACACATTAGCGCCTAAATACATTTTACAGCGTTAGTCGAAACCAGGGCATTCCCATGTCACGTCATGGGTCAAGGTCGTGTGAACATCAATCAGCCAATGAAAACAACTCAACATCTTGGCGTCAGAATCACAGCGCATTCCCAAGTCCATTCAAATTGCATTGAAAGCCTACTCTGTGGTAATCTAAGCAAACATGATTTTTCATCGTATTTGCACGATTGCTCTACTAATCGGACTTTTACCAGTCTCTATCCTCGGCTACGGTAAGACTCTCGCGTAATTTGCACTTTGTACATCGAAGGCTCCACTCCCGAAACAATAGTTGAGAGCATTCTTGAGTCGCTCCCCTCGGAGCTGGCGAATCTCACCCTCCCACCTGTGAACGTCCTTGGCTCAGTCCGGATAATTAAAATCGGAAATCTGAGTCGTGCCTGCCCCACGGCGATAAACGAAATTACTGAGAACGGAATTCAGTCATTTGAAGTCTCAACTTGTCTGAACGTGGAAGATGCTGTTATTGACGTACCAGAGCGCGTAAGTTATGTCTTATTTGGAATTTTCAAAGCGAGAATTGCAAAAATGGTGTTTGTTTACATCGCTGCGGTATGAGAAAGCCTGATCCAATCGGATAGGTTATTAAGTATTACTGGACCGATACGTGGTTGCACGAGTTGAGTTTGCAGCTCACAACCTAATTTTAATGTTCATTGTACTTATTGTAAATACTAAAGCGGACAGGCAAATGTTCAAAGTAAGACAAACACCTCAAGATGTTTCACTTTTGAATTCCAACTATTTGCAGGGCTAAAATGCCTTGCAAACTGTGATTACTAGTACAAAGTACGGCTGATTGAGCCAATGTTCAAGTGATGTGCGTCGGCGAACTAACCCCTTTCGCACGACCCGTTCTCCTGGCGGTTATAATGGAAGAACCCTTTACCCCTTTCAGTCGGTGACTGCTTCGATTGGACGAGCCAGATTCGACGTTTTTGTGAAATTTATCAAGTCTGTGAAATCATCGTTGGAAGCTGAAATTTCGATCCCTGTTTGGGAAGACATCGAGGTCGAGGGACCGTATCTTTCAAGACTCCTCGCATCGAGCGTTTTAAGGAGCAGCAGTCTGGTTAGATTTACTCTGCAAACTGTCATTACCTCGGTTTTACGGGAGATCAAATGGGATAATTTGTAAGCTAAGTTGATTGCGAACTTCACTTATCTGCTTTTATCATAATTTTGTTCGCGTTTGTTACAATGCAGATTGTAAAGGAAATAAAATTTCTCATAACCAATCAATTTGTGCGGTGAGGGCTCGCGATTCATTGGCCATTTTGTCAATCTACACCTGTGGCCACAGCACTGTGTCAATAAGTTGAACTCGCTGTTTCGGGCGAGCAAGACGGTGAAGATTTTGGATTTCAAAAAATCTCCAGCACACTCCTGTTGTGAGAGGTCAAAGAAGATTTTCTAACGGGTCGAGGCTTCTAAAAACTTGCCTAAGTGGCCTATTCATCCACGCGGGAGTTTCTCACAGTTTTTAGTGAATCGTGTTGAATCACTTCTATTAACCCGGCTGCTGAAGTCTCAGACACATGTCCCCTCTTCACGACGTGCTCATTCACCCCCTATACATGAATCAGTCATACCCGCTTAATCCGACTGGCAATTCAGGTGTTTGTACTTTTACTAGTTCATGCGCACACGTTAATGCACCCACACGAAACACACAGCTAGGTTCAGCCGTCTGGTAAACGGTTGTACCTCGGCTCCACCGTCGCGGTTATCAGGGTAGCGTAATCGGGCTAGATTCAACGCAGTGCCGGGACCCTCGACAATTGGGGATCTCGACGTTGAACGCACATCGACCGTCTACGAGCTAGCAACTGTCCATCTTGTGGTGCGACTTTCGTGATGTGGAGTTTCTGTCTTACGCTCTGATGTCTGGCCGCACGAGGCTTTTGAAGTGATGAATTGGCCTGTTTGGAGTCGTGCTAGCTTCGTCAAGGCGACCCAGGAACGTGATTGAAACAGCTCAACACGGAACGGCATGCCCCAACTAAAATGACGATATTAGAACTGTCCCTAGTTTGGTTCGTAGTATCTGCATCTGTCGGATAGCAAGGCATAAGCGAGTAGAGTCCACAGTGGCGGATACAAGTAGTTGGTCGAATCACTTCTGGTGTGTGGCGTCCGTTTAGCACGACTTTCCAATCCCATAGTTAACATTTCTTAAAACCCGAAAACCAAAAGAAGAGAGGCGACAACGTATTAGCATCGCGCAGGCCAAGTGTCTTTGTGTGAGGATGAATGAGCGGATGATAAGCGTCAGATAAAAGCAATCCAGACTAGCTAAATTTTCGCAAACTCCTAAACTTGACTTAAACGGCTGCTCCGTCTGCACAATCTCATTACTCCTAAAGCCGAGCAAACACAATCCGTAGCTGCATGGTTCAGCAACAATTCTGTTAGATGTGCCGAGACGTGCCTTGAGCTGCTTCTAGGATATTTAATGCAATCGTGGTGACACAAAATTAATGTGCTCTGATTTTGAACTAATTAATTCTATAATGAATGCAAATTTTAATGCGAATACGAGATCTTCGGTTCGTTTTCAAATTCATGCGACACATTAACCAAATTTGGGTGTTCCTAGAAGGTTTTAGTAACGACGACGACACACCAACTAAAAGCAGTCTATTCATCGACACAATGTGCAACACGATAATGTGCAGAGAATGAGTTAATTTATTCACTCACTAGCAGCTACACCTTAATCTACTTTAATATCAATATTTCCAAAGTTCATTGTAAATAATAAAGGAAGGAGGAGCAGGGGGAGTGTAGGATGTGAATTGGGTGTGTGCATGCTCGTCACAATTCGAACCCGGATCAATCTAGAAGACTTTCCCAATTGATTTTCCCAATGGCCGAGTCCACCACACTCTGCAGGATGTACTCAACGATGCCACTACTCTTCAGCACCAACTCTGGCATGAGCGACGAGAAGAAGGGCCCTTTGACTTTCACGCCCCTCCATACCGGAAGTTGAATGACCAGGCGTGGTGCCGTGTTGTTGGCAAGCGCGACGTGCAAGGCGAAGACAAATGTCGCGTTGTCGATTGTCGCATTCACTGACTAAAAGCAGCAATACAATGCCCACATCAGATGTCAGCCAGGGTGGGTTATGCAATCTCTAGGTTAACTTGGGATGTTTAACACAGCATGCTGTGCTCCAGTTTCACAGCTTAAGTGAAGACTTGTGAAAAATAGCGTTTCAGAATATTCATGGGGGACAACCTCGATGTGCACACAGAGGCAACTGGGAACACAAGTTTTATGTGAAAATTAGTTTCCAAAACTACCTACCACCATACGAGATCCGTTTACAAGGCAGTCAAACAAATATCATGTGCAAATAGTTGCATTATTAAACGTGGTTACCAGAAATAGCAAATACAAAAGTGAGAAATGAGTTGCCAGCCTTTTCTGAACTGACTAAAATGCTTAATCTGCGTATTCAATCAAGCCAACTACATTCTGTGCCAGTTAAACATGAAATTTCTAAGAAAAATCAGCCTTTTTGTCACTGTTGTTAGTTAGTTGTACATTTAAACTATTTTTTATAAGTTTCATATTGTTGTAATACCAAAATCACGCTGCACCTGCCAAGTCGTTAGACCAGTCATCTGCGCGTACACAGGGACGTTACCATCCACCTGATCGACAGTGTGACGAAGTTTGGCCTTTAGTCCCAAAATAGATCCACAATCATTCTTACCGCTTAATTCTATTCAAATAGTGATGGCTGAGTCAATGCAACCTGTGTCAACTACCATGCTGTACAATATTCACACACTGACAAAGCCTTAACCGAGGGTGGGCATGGCTTTGGTCATTCCATCAAGACAAGACACGTAAATCGAAAAGGAGATGCACGGCATAGCACAACTCACGCGATCCGGCAGTTCAATTTTAGCGTCGGTCACTCTGAAGCACGAGGTGAAATCTAGCGTCACCACCCCACCCTCCGAAGATTTCTTCACCGTCGTCTGACAGGCAGGCGTGACATCGCCCAATTTGAGCACCCGTACGTGCCCGAGGCGCACCATCTTGGCAATCTCTGAATTCATCCAGCCGAAATGCAACGACTCCAGAGACTTCTCCTCTACCGAGCCGGTATGGGAACCTATAGCATTGGCAAATGTAGATTAAGCGAGAGAAGGAATGTGCCTTACGGTGGCTATGGATGACGATGGGTAGGAGGCAGAGCAGGAAGAAGACAGCGCACACTTGCATGTTTACTTGATGCTCTCGAACCTGCCAGATAAGATCTAACAGAAGATAGTCACAAAGCAAACTTTTATAGGTTTCCGCATCAGCCGATCGATTTGCTGACATGCTGAAACCCTAGAGTAAAAACATAAGGTCGTGTGGTTAGTTATTCTCATTGGTTCATGCGAGTTCTTTTCGGGCATGGTGTAACGCGACCTTGACACTTGTTGTGACAAGGGGATGAGAAGGATACCTTCACTTGGCTCTTCATGTCGGCGTGTTCCTTTTGTCGGTGCATGTTTTCCGTTTCCCTAGATGTCTTTTTGCGGTATTTTTGACAGCTCAAATTCGATTATACATTGAATGGCCCTGTGGAGTGCGCATCCGCCATCACATTTTACTTTTAGTTAACCGGAACAAAAGGGCTATATTCTTTATCGTTTGGAGTTAAGTGGTCCCCATTGACAAGCGCTGAGGTGTTTCACATTTTTTCATCTGTTTTTCTACCTCTTTCTCTGCACTCGATTATTACTTGCTAAAGTCATCAAAGGAAAACACATCAAACGCATCTCATCTGGATGTGAATGTGATGCTCTCATGACTAGCACATGATGGAAATGCTTTAATATAATATAATCTGCCCACATTGGGTCAGAAATAATCTTCTGAAAGGATTAATCTTGTGGAAAGCATAATTAGCAGTCGCTCCGGAGCCCGCTACAATTTGCTCTGTGACATTTTTGTGGGGCTATAACGTGGACTTTGAATGTCCTTTATACTACAATTAAAGTTGACCAACCCCTGGTTTTCATTAAGCAGCAGTCAAACTTCTTTTTCTTGTCACTGCTATGCAGCATACTGTACGCGCTACTTGATTTCTGGACTACTATCTGTAGTGGTGTAAGTTCTAGCGTGTTCAATGAACCCAAGCTGAACCAGTCTTGGCATCGTAACAAATTCGACAAGTGTTTGTAATGAATTTCGATAACCTGACGCATTTGGGCAGACGCTGCACTGTGAAACACAGGCGCATGTGAGCAGAAAATCCGTCAAGTGGTGTAACCGATGTTTCATAATACCCAGATTCATAGTTTTGTGCTTGTCAATAATACACATGCAGGAAAGCAGAGTATTATAGTGGTGGTCAGCGTTCACAATTTCTGAAAAGACTGCAATTTAGGATTCGAAGGAAAGCGAATGTGTGTTTGAGAGGTGGATGTCATCCCTGACCCAGATTCCGCCGTGATACTAAAGAAGTTGTTTACTTTGACTCTGCAAGCATGCTGCAGAAGTGACCTTCAAACCAGGCACTTGAACAACGACAACAGAAAATCCAAATCAGCCAAACAGGAGCATGATTGGTTGATTGAATGTGAGCACATTTTGGCACATTGCAATCGGGTTAGCTGGAAGCTCTATCTTAAGGCGATCACTAAAGTCTTGCAACCTGACCCTGAGATTGTCGCAGCTCATCAATAAATGAACTGTGGGTTGATTTGGTGCAAATTAAGTTCAACATTTGAGGTTGTCAGTGATTCACTGAATGATGAGAGTTGGCAACCAATTGGAAAAGGGCGTGCCAGATGTTCAATTCGAACTAAAGTACACGCGCATTCGAATTCACCAATCATGTGTTTTTCGCTTTCCCGACGCCAATGTAACCCAATATAAATCTAGAAAGCCATAACCCATGACACCAAGCAAAGTTGGTTCTACGAAGCCGAAGAGTTAATGGGACACAATTTTCAATTTATCACCCGTTGAGCTCATTTTGAGGTTCCGATCCATTTTGTTTCCTATTGAATTTTTCGAGAAACTGTCTCACTGATTCGGCAATGAACCTCCTACAACAATCAGAATCATGTTCGTGGTTCAACCTTGGCAGTGTAAGCTCCCTTCTCAAGAAAATTCTATATTTTTGGTTTCCACAGTGATTAATTTACTCTTCGTCGACGTGGTTGAGTGTAGGTCTTTTCAAGCATCCGCTTACCCTCTTAAAATGATTCACTAAATTTCAACCGTAAATGCAATATTATGTTCTGTTAGGGTATCTCAATAGCCGTTTGTCCATGTGGCCATAAAGACGTTAAAGGAATCTTCGACTTATAGAAATTCTGAAACTAAACTATATCTTGGCTAAAGTGAAATAGAAAATACGTCAGCTTGAATGGTAGTTCACACCGAGTAGCTCAATCTTGTTTTCCCAAGGATGGACGTGAAACATTCTAGAAGCAATAGTGTTAGAGGAAAAACGGGCTCATTGACTGTGGGACCTGGTCAGTTGGCGGTGCCATCAAAGCGAGACTGTTGACGAACTGGACTATTACTGGAAGTGACCCATTTCCATAAAAGCAAAACCCGACACAACTTCGGGTCCAACGGAAACCAAAGTCCGAGTCCTCCAGGCCGGCCATTGCCTCACTTAGTCCACAGGCCACTTTCCACGACAGTGCACGAACAGCCCAGTCAAAATCGATGGAAACAAGTTACTAAGACACTATTTCAGACAATACGGTGGCTAAACTCCTTGGCCACCACCACATGGCTTACTGATGAAATGGTCAGCCTGGCTTGCAGTGAAGAACTCTAACTCCCTCATAAAATACAGCAACGTGTCTTTTATCCTAGTCACAACATTCAACGACTCGTGTTCAGTGTATAACCTCAGGCTGAGACCCACAAAAGCAGATTGGTTCTGACTGTCCAATCAATCTCAGAATTCTTTTTATACCCTCTCTTCGTCGACTGTGTGTTTTCAATTTTACACACTTTCACGCCTTAATTACTATCCTACACATAACTCAAATCCACCTGGTTTTTACAATTAGCAGCTCTAAACACTTCCTCTGCTGTGTTGAAACATGCATGTTCACTTATCCCTGGAACTTGACGAGCAGTCGACTAATTTCAACGAGCTTGTGAAACTAAACTAGTTCTTCGTGCTACTTCCATCAAACACACTAGACTCTACCTCCGTATCATACCTCGTCAGGTTACACAAGGTGCGGCTGTGTCGAAACATGTGAATCCAACATCCGTGCATGTTTCCATGCAAAATATTCATCACCCATTCACTCGGTCTCGCTGTCTCAGGACTACATGTCAATGTATCGGCACAATACCCGTGGCCACATGCGACGATTGTCAACTGTGCCAATGAATTGTGCTTTACCACTTCATAAATTAACACTTTCAGAAAAGACACGCTTAGAGTAAGAGCGACTTAATGCAAATGGTTGACAACATCCAGATAGCAGAGAAACGAAGAAATAAACGAATGCGAGTTGAGTCAAACAACATTTGGCGTTTAGAACAGATTGGCTGTTGTCCAATCGGTTTGACGCAGAACCGTGTTGATGGCTCTTTGCAGCACAAATGCAACGAAACTGCGATTGTTGAGATTTCCGACCCTGGTTCCCTCTACTTCGATGCCTTCCCAAACGGGAACCGACAGGGTGACTCTTGGTGCCTGTTTCAGGGATGGGTCAATTTTCATTGAAACATCAAATCTCGCTTGTGCAATTGACGCAGTCACAGACTAAACCGTAAGATAATCGAACATTTATTAGAATTCCACATAGAAAACGACTCATGCGGCAAGAGTCATTTCAAACACAGACATCATTTAACCTCTGAAATAATCTGTCTTATTCAGTTCTACTAGCCACATTTCACCAGGTTAAAATGCCAGGCGAATTAGCGGGATTAAAATGTGTGCCACGTCGACGACAGGTCAAACAACTGAATTGCATGTCTGATCTGTTCTGGTCTGAACCCGTGTGCTTTCTAGATAGAAAGACTTGTTGTATTGCCTTTCAATTAACCAATGCTATAGTGAATACAGCTGTGCGTTTGCCTCGATGTCGATATTCTCCCTGAGCCAAAATGTTGGTTTTTGATGAATTTGACATCAATTCAGCAAGACAGGCAATTTGGGATGATCGTAAAAGTACGCATTTAAGAAAACCAGCTTACGAGTTTTGGTAGGCTAACTGCAACATCTGTCACACCTAGACAGGCACCAACCTCGACCAACGGGATCCCATTCTCGTTAATTGCCTTCTTCGTCGTGGGACAGGCACGACGCACACTTCCGATTCTGGTGATCTCCACTGCGCCAATATTCGTCGCGTGTGGAACCGTAAACGCGAATTGTTGGCCAGAGAGCGACTGAAGGTAACTGTCTACCACATGGTCGGGCACGAGATCTAAGGTGCATTAAACACAGAATTGGTGAAAATGAAGGCGTCTTACCGAAGCCATGGATGAAGATGGGCAGAAGGCCGACGAGGAAAAACATTGTGAACGTTTGCTGAAGACGCATGCTTCCTGGAGACGTTGACCCTTGCTGACTTGTATCTAAAAGTTGACGTCCTCAAAGGCAGCTTTTATAGCAATGATAGTGGCCTAATTAGCGGCTAAGATGTCGGCGTCCCTAAAGGTTGCCCAGATTTCATTGGTTGATTGGAGTCCACGCGAGTGGGCTCACCTCGACCTTGACCCATCACGTGACATGGCAGTGCGCTGGATTCGACTATCGTGGTAAACTGCATGAGGACGTGTGTGTGCTTGTGTAAGTGGTCATTTGCCACTTCTGGTTCAAGCTCAATTTTAAAACCTCACCTTTTCCAAGTAAACACACCTTGTTAGCAAGAGCACTTAGAACTTGTGTAGGCGTTAAACACTGGCGAAAAAGAGGTTTACCTCGGTTTACCAAGGATAATACCACACTTAAGAGGCTAGTTTCAGCATTTTTTGAAAACAAGTTCTCTTTGTGATGAATCAAAATGCACATTTGGAGTGTTGTTGCAAGCAGAAATATTTGCAGTTGGCCGCAGATTCTCATTGCGAAAAGCAAGCCTGTGATGCGTGTTGCGAGCCTTGCTGAATACAATCTTGCCGAGGCAACTGACTCGTTCAACTGAACCACAGAACGCTGCTTCAAGTTAATGACATTAAACCTACATGAAGCCAAACTGGTCTGACTTCCCTGGCCAAACGAGGACATTTGGCACATGGAATTTTGCACAGCATGTCAAATCACTCAGGTAAAGTATTAAAGCACTGTCGGAGTTCGTTTGTCACATTTCGGATCAGTTTGGATATAACATGTGACATTTGACCACAGTGGGCAATCGAGCAGGCCACTACGTAGAAACACTTTATGCGATTCTGACTAAACCGCCCACTACCTCTGCATCATTCACGAATCACAGGCAGTAAGCAAAGAGACAAAAGTGATGATAAGTCTACGTGCTAGAGCTCAGTCAGCACTGAGTATACCGGATGATCTAGGATGCTGCTGCCTGAAGCCATTCCAATGCACTGCAATGCAGCCTGTGTGGTGGCAGTGCAGCACAAAAATCGACGAATCTAGCCACCCACGATACCACTTAATGCCCATTCGCGACCGAGGCATCAGCCTGCCATTGAAACAATTTCTCACTGTTGCCTACAACAAGCAGTGAATGTGATATCAGTCGATGTTCACGACGAACGGTGCTCACGGACACAATTCGAACGTACGTACTAGCGATTAACATGACACGCGTGTCCCTAAAGCACTGCTCTAACAAGGTGCTTGTGAGTAGGCAAACACTACCACAACGTGAACTGGTACCCTCATTGCTACACGAAGGAGCTTTGAGACGGTGGTGGTAGTGGTTCAAAACAACCACTACTGCCTCATTGAAATTCTTACACTGCCCTACAAATCGTGAAGAAGGCCAAAGCGCACATCTTGCTGATACTAAGAAATCTAGATTCGTTCATGTTGATCGTCACCTCAGTGGCGATCAAGTACTCACCTCAAAATGACATCATTCCTGAGCTCACCACTAGTTCATTGTCCAGGAGCTATTGTATTTATCTAAACTTTCATTAACACATGATCTAGATTTGGCCAGGGCTCTTATGGTTCAACACTTTCACACGTTGTGGCAGAAGAAACGTCTCTCGGTGTGCCGAATTTGTGACATGAAAAGAGAGAGCTCTAAAAGGAGCCGCGTTTGACCACAGTGAGGCTACTGGTGTGTCCTGAATCCCGGTGGTTCAATTTCCGTGTTTGATATTGCCGTACAATTGGAATAGCACGAAATGATCGCTTCAGGTTGTCCTTGTTGATGGAATGTGTGTGCTGGAAATAATCCACACACCTTAATTACCTTCTACATGTTGAAACGTGGAAACTAAATGTGTCTAGTTGTGGACGTCTCCGCTCATGCCACTCCCGGTATCACACCTCCGCCGCCTTGATTCACCATGACCGTCCAAGCGTTCTCATTGCCTTGATGATGGCTAACCACTCGCTCGTTAATGGTCAGGACAACTCTGTGCGACTCACAACAGACCCACATTGAATCTGTGCACTTGACGTTGCGCACCATCTTTTGCGTTCGTCGGTTAGATGGAAATTTCCTTCTAATGGACTGCATTTGTTGATACTCACCTCCACACTAAATTCATCATGATTAGATGATTCCAAGCCACCCAACTGCTTTTTTGTTTCACTGCATTCTTTGAGGGGAACATAGAAATTATTGGTGTCAGATTCGAAGTTGTCTTAGAAACATGCATTTGAAGAGCAGTCATTTGTGGACACACCACAATCACAACCCTGTCCACTTCAATAAGTCTGCAAATTTGATCGTCTGGAGCGCCGCGTTTGCCGCGGACTGCAGAGTCAATTGAACAGCAGTCCTGCTTTTTACCGCCGTCTTAACAAGGGTGGATTTAAGTCGTGCTCCTTTGACGTCGATGTCCTTCCAAACTGGAATCGATACGGTCAATCTTGGTGCAACGTTTGATGATTCTGAAATCTGCAGAGAGACGTCGAATTTTGCCAGACCGATTGAAATGCTCAGACACTGAAAGAATCATAACAGACATCATGGTTTATGTTAGAGAAAAACAATGACTGCACACTCAGCTTAGGCTGTCAAACAACATTTCCGAAGTCACCATTGCTACAACGTTTTGCGAAAAAGTGGGTTTCGAGTAAATGCTTGGTAGTTGATTGCTCAATCAAACGCGTTTTTAGCATTTGCCCTGGAAAAACTCGCATGTTGCGCCGTATTTTGACGTCTATTTGGTGAGATTTTAGAGAATCAAAAAAGTACTACTGAATTACAATTAAAACAAAATCTCTTCTTAACCCACCGTGCCAGCTTAAACTAAATTTGTCATTCAACGACAATTCAGTGCATCGTTTGACGGCATTATGTAATAGTGTTTTCGTGATTAGTTATGGTAAATGCGGAGTTTAACGATTCATTTTTCTCGTAGGTCAAATGCACCATTACTGTTCAAAGTCCACCTCTTTTCAACTTTCAAGTGGTGAGTTAAAATCCGGCGTGCTGAGTAGTTTGATGGCCAAAAATAGCTCGTCACCAATCAATCACACGTACTTCACACAAGCAAGTCGAGATTGGTGGGTGGAGAGGAACCGATGAGGACACCAAAACTTGCCTGTTTTGGTAAATCAATAACGACGTCCGTGACATTGAAACACGCGTTGAAAGCATACGATGGAATTGCCTCACTCGCCGTCTTCTTTGTGGTTGTGGTGCAGGCGCGACTCACTCCCCCGATTTTGCTAACT